TCTTATCCGATGTGGGACTGTACTCACATATTAATCACCTCAACAAATACACCAAACTTTCTAACCGTTAGATTAACTTAATTGATCAGATCTTAATCTAATGGACAAGCTTCTATTTATTAATTAAGTATGGTTTGGGAATGAAAACTCTAGAGAATTTGGAAAGAAATTATAAGTGATCACATTAAATTACGTTTTGAGTTTTTTGTGGAGATGGAGAAAAAAATTTCTAGTTGTCTCTCACTTTATATGATTTCTGATGAAGTTAGGGTAAAAAAACATCAATGTTAAATAAAAATATAACAAACTAACTAATGATGATTTAATGATATATATTTCTTGGGCATTGGAGTTGAGATGCTAGTGATTAATAGGAGTCGACGATAGTGGAGTCGATGTGCGAGTGAGGTTTGGATCATTTATGAAATTAGAGTCTTAGGGGGTGTTTGGTTGCATTGTTTTTGAGAAATATTTTCTCAAAAGTACTGACGCATGGCATTTATGTAATTAAGAGTTTTCTATACATTTCTATAAACTGTGTTTGGCTCCAAAAAAATTTACAGAAATGTTTTCTGTAAAGTGCCCAAAAGTACCAAATTTTATGGAAATTGATTTCCTTCTAAAATGGGAGGAAATCTCTTGGAAATCTGACGCATTCATTATTTAAATAATAAAACTCATTAACTCTTTTCTACAAAGTTCTCACTTTTCTATAAAGTTGGTGGTGTTTGGTTACATTTCTATAAATTATAGGAAATGTTGCTATTTTCCCAAAAGTTATTTCTCATTTTCTTGTTTTGAACCAAACAAGCACAATACAAAAAATAAGAAAATTTGTACTTTTTAACTTCTCAAAACTTTTCCTATAATTTTTTTAAGAAATACAAGGAAATCAAATTTGGGATGGAAAACATTTCCTATAATTTATAAAAATGTAACCAAACACCCCCTTAGTGTGAGCAGCGTCAGAAAACATAGAGTCGAGGTGCTAGCCTGCCAGATTCACTTGTGATTGCTTAAAGATGATTTTATTGGATACATGAAGAAGCTTTTTTCTCAATCGACATCTCAAGCTAATTTTTTTTTGAAATCATACAGAGAGTCAGATTTATTTTCTCGGCAATCTCAGAAGTGATTTGATGTGACCATGTATAATTAACTTTCAATTGTGTTTTTATTCCCAAACTACCCTTAACTAATAAATAGATTTCTAGTTGTCTCTCACTTTATATGATTTCTGATGAAGTTAGGGTAAAAAAACATCAATGTTAAATAAAAATATAACAAACTAACTAATGATGATTTAATGATATATATTTCTTGGGCATTGGAGTTGAGATGCTAGTGATTAATAGGAGTCGACGATAGTGGAGTCGATGTGCGAGTGAGGTTTGGATCATTTATGAAATTAGAGTCTTAGGGGGTGTTTGGTTGCATTGTTTTTGAGAAATATTTTCTCAAAAGTACTGACGCATGGCATTTATGTAATTAAGAGTTTTCTATACATTTCTATAAACTGTGTTTGGCTCCAAAAAAATTTACAGAAATGTTTTCTGTAAAGTGCCCAAAAGTACCAAATTTTATGGAAATTGATTTCCTTCTAAAATGGGAGGAAATCTCTTGGAAATCTGACGCATTCATTATTTAAATAATAAAACTCATTAACTCTTTTCTACAAAGTTCTCACTTTTCTATAAAGTTGGTGGTGTTTGGTTACATTTCTATAAATTATAGGAAATGTTGCTATTTTCCCAAAAGTTATTTCTCATTTTCTTGTTTTGAACCAAACAAGCACAATACAAAAAATAAGAAAATTTGTACTTTTTAACTTCTCAAAACTTTTCCTATAATTTTTTTAAGAAATACAAGGAAATCAAATTTGGGATGGAAAACATTTCCTATAATTTATAAAAATGTAACCAAACACCCCCTTAGTGTGAGCAGCGTCAGAAAACATAGAGTCGAGGTGCTAGCCTGCCAGATTCACTTGTGATTGCTTAAAGATGATTTTATTGGATACATGAAGAAGCTTTTTTCTCAATCGACATCTCAAGCTAATTTTTTTTTGAAATCATACAGAGAGTCAGATTTATTTTCTCGGCAATCTCAGAAGTGATTTGATGTGACCATGTATAATTAACTTTCAATTGTGTTTTTATTCCCAAACTACCCTTAACTAATAAATAGAAGCTTTTCCATTAGATTAAGATATCTATCAATTAAGTTAATCCAACAGTTAGAAAGTTTGGTGTATTGAGACCTCAGTACACTTAAGTTGACATAAGAATCTCTCTCTCTCTCTCTCTCTCTCTATATATATATATATATATATATATATATATATATATATATATATATATATATAAAGAGAGAGTGTGTGTGTGTAAAACCCCAAAAATTTAAATATTTTATGATAAATAATAATAAATACGTTATATGTTGAAAAATAACATATTTTGATGTTTGAGTATGCTAGAAATTGATTTGAGATCAATTCAATGTATATATGTGAATATACGAGTGCAAATGCACAAATCAAGAAATCTAGAAATATGACCAGTTGAGATATTATATGTTGTACACACTGATACAATTATAATATGGAAAACTTAAAAGATCAAACTTGTAGGTCTCTTCAACAGCTTTCTAATGAATCTTAAATCATCTCATTCCAAGATCGGATGAGAAAGTTACAGTCATTATACTGAATACAGATTTCAAAATACCGGGCTATTTCCAGATCTGTTTCAGGTTTTGGGTTGGGTTTTGTTTAACCCGAACCCAGTTGATACCCTAAGTATATATATTCGTTTTAAAGCTTTCTTAACCCTCTTTCAAGCCCTAATAACCTCTGACACCTCCCTCCTCAAATCCTAGCCCAATTTGTGAGCTTTGGGAGAGATCTAAGGATGTTTGTTGAACGAAAGGTAATGATTTGTGACAATTGGCGGAGGAGAAGCCTTGTGCTCGTGTCAAGGAGTCCAACAAGACCTTGAGGCAAGATTACCCTCATCCAAACCTTTCTTATAAATTAGTTAAAGATTTAAGAAGTTTGAAAATGATGTTTTTCATGCTTGAGTTTAATTTGTCATGCTAAAACAAAATAAGATTTTTATGATAAAATGTTAATCCATTGTTAGAACTGAATATTTTGTCTCCTTGTTGTTAGAATTATATTTATAATCATGATCATTAGGATTAATATAAATTTTAGTTTTATTTTTGTAAACTAAGATTTACCATGTGAAAATCCTAGTTTATTTGATTATTTGAATTCTTATAAATTAATCATGCTAAAACCTAAGGTTGTGATATCTAGGATTAAAATCAAGTTTTAAAATGAATTACATCTCTTTTCATGAGTAATTCTATCATACTTAAATAATCAATTTCGTTTAAATATGAGATATTAAAGAGAGCTACTAATGATATATATATTCTGCTGAAAACTGTTGCACTTGTATAAGATTTAACTAAAAATTTTGAGATAGCAAATAAACTCCAAATCAAGCTAAACTAGTGCAAAAAGAAAGATATATGAATCTAGTTTCTAAAACAGTAAACCATTCATAAAAAGAGTTTGTCTAGAGACCGATACACTTTTTTTATTAAAGACATGTTTTGCAGAAAAACTGCTACACGTGTATGATATTTCAACAGAAAACAGGGTATAGTAAATGAACTTCAAATTTAACTAAACTAGTGCCAAATAAAAGATATATGAATCTAATTTCTAAAACACAAAACCATTTT